GTCCCAATCAAATGTTTCAAACCACTTGAAAAATGCCAGAAAGTCATATTTTGCATGGTTGGAACCAAGAAGAGCTCCAACATCCAACAAGAAGAAATGAGAGTGAGAAAACGTTTTTTTTGAACATGCAAGTTATTGAAAACAATGCTTAAACTGAAACGGGCTTTTTTACAGCCGATCAAAAAGGAACATTTCTCCAAGCGGCGAACACGCCCGCACGAAGGGTGTCTACTGTCTGGAACTGTTGTCCATTTTTGTAAACTTCCCTTGCCATCCATCCCCAAAGGTTCTCAATTGGATTTAGATCAGGGGAACATGCAGGATGGTCCAAAAGAGTGATGGTATTCTCCTGCAAGAAGTTCCTTGTCCTGCAGGCATTGTGTACTGTAGCATTGTCATGTTGAAAATCCCAATTGTTACCACACAGACAAGGGCCCTCAGTCATGAGGGATGCTCTCTGCAACATCTGGACATAGCCAGTGGCCATTCGCCCCCCCTGCACCTCCTGAAGCTCCATTGTTCCACTGAAAGAAAAAGCACCCCAGGCCATTATGGCACCTCCTCCACTGTGGTGCACGGAAAACATCTCAGGTGGGATCTGCTTGCCATGCCAGTAACGTTGGAAACCATCAGGACCATCAAGGTTAAATTTTTTCACATCAGAGGATAAAACTTTCTTTCACCTTTCAGTGTTTAGTGCTCTCTTTCACTCTCTGGCATTTAATGAGACAAGACCATTTAAGATCTTTAATGTTTTTGAAGCCATTCAGTCTAAGATGCCGTCTGATGATTATGAGGCTGCAGTCGGCACCAGTAATGGCCTTAATTTAGGTCGAGGATTGTCCAGTGTCTTGACAAACAGCCAATTGGATCCTCCAGCTCAGTGCTGGTGAGGGTTTCTTGGGTCTTCCACTTGACCTTTTTGTTCCTATAACCATCAGGATCATTTAAGAAATTCCAAATGACTGTCTGACTGCGTCCCGCCTCAGCAGCAATGGCACGCTGCGAGAGACCCTGCTTATGCAGTTCAAAAACCTGACCACGGTCCAAAAGGGAACGTTTTTTTGCCTTTGCCATCAGAACATCCTGACATTGTGACTACTTGACAGAAGATGACAATGAATTCACGTTTTTGCATAGAGTTTGCCTCTTAAAGGCATGTGGTCCTAAATTTTTGATCAGTTATAAAACAGCCTGTTTCAATTTAAGCGTTGTTTTCGATAAATTGCATGCTCCAAAAAATGTTTTGTCTCACTCCCATTTCTTCTTGTTGCATATTGAAGCTCTACTTGGAACCTTGTTAAGATCCAACCATGCAAAAAATGATTTTTTTTTCAAGTGGTCTTAAACTTTTAATCAGGACTGTATATACTGAGGAGATTGGGACAGCAGGTGGAGCAGAAGTAACAATATTATTAATGGTGTCAAATAACGCCATAGGATTACCTGTTCTATTTGTAACCAAGTGTGAGAAACAGTCAGCCCGTGCATCTCTAACTGAACTGTTGAAAGAAAAGATGAAAAGATCCTTTTACTGAAGGGGATGAATACAAACCGAATTTTTCTTCACTAGTGCTCACCTTTTCCACAAGAACACTTTAAGAGGCGTATGGTGTTTATCTAATTTATCCAAGGTGACAACTTGGAAACAGGAGCTAATCATCTATGTGAATGTTAATATTTCCATCTGTAAGCAATCCTAAACGGCTTAATAGTGGAGAATAATAAATCGCTAAACTTCTTTAAAAACAAACCATTTGGGTTAGGTTGACGATCCACCTGCACAATAAAACAGATTCTTATTCCCGACTCCTGCATGCACCAAGGAGGGCACTGCTGAGGATGCCAAATAAGGATTCAGGCACAAAATATCAAAACAGGAGGATGAGGTATCTTGACCCATCAGATAGCATGGATAAAGACGTTCATAAACTAAGGCAGACAGCATGCTGGAATCCCGGATAAAACCAGAGTTAAGGTAGCTGCTCTGTACTGTGTTAGCAAATGGCATTAAAGAAGATAATAGGAGGAATTATACCCTTAAGTTTAGTTACAGCGCTATCGGCTGTATTTAAAAGTATTCCCAACTGCTGTGTGATCCATTATTGTAAATTTTATTGTTGTTAGGAAATGATCGAAGGGTTTTCAATGAATACTTTTAAATGTTCGGTTTCCATGCCATATCTCAGAACTAGATGGAGAGTGTGGTTAACATTGTTGTGGGTTCTTTTACATTTTGAGAGAAGCTAATTGAGTCTAATAATAGATTAAATGCTGTGTTGAGGCTGTCAAAATCATCCACAACAATTATTTTATTTGAACTGAGCACTAAGTCAGATAACAAGTCTGATAAACCTCTGAGTAAGGGCCAAGGGGACAATAGAGAAACAACAAATAAAACTGGTTTGTTATTTTACCAGTTGGGTCGTAACTTTATTTGCTTAATTTACTATCTTCAGCGCTTCTATTTGTTCTACAGGCATCAAGTACATGAGAAGGAGGAATTCAAAGCCTTAAAGACCCTCAACATTTTCTACCAGGCAGGAACCTCAAAGATTGGAAATCCAGTGTTCTACTATGTCGCCCGCAGGTAGGACTTGGCTTTACTTATTTCTCAATTTAGTAAACTGACAAAATAATAGATAAGAGTGCATTTGTTGTTAGAGACTTTGGTTCATTTTAAATTGCTGTCAAGCCGAAAATGAAATGATGTGGAGGTTTCAAATTAGTCAGGACAGAGCTATTCTGTAAAGATATATTGTATCTGTCAGAATGTGTGCTGGCAAGTTGGATGAATTATTTCTAGATTAGCCACTAACCACACATCCTGTGTATGGTGTTAGTGTGTGATGTTTCCTGGATACCAGTATGCACCTATCAACAGTAGTTGAGACAGTATCTGCTTCAAACAGATTGGTTTTTGGTTTTTAAAAATAGGACCCTGTTGTGTCAGTTCTGTGTACGATTGGTGCCTGAGCACGCAATGCAAAAACCATTTTGTATCTGCTTATTTGAGTGTCCCAAAGCATTCACAGTATTGACATCCAAATCTTTATTATTATTGAGTGTGCCAGTACAATAGTACTGAGGCATTGTCTAAGGAGCTTGGGAAAAAAGGTTCTGGACTTCTTTAAGTTTTCTTGAAGACGTTTCACCTCTCATCCTAGAAGCTTATTCAGTTCTAAGCGCAATTGTTGGAGAGTCCCAGTATTGAGGCATTTCCGAAAGTTGATTCAGTTCATCTGGACGTAGCACTTTCAGTGGGAGAAATGTTTCGTCATTCATCCAAGTGACTTCTTCAGTCTCAGCTGACTGCAGGTTTCCCCACCCTTATGAACATACATTTGCATGATGAATGAAACTAGCACCACTGGCGAACAATGGGCTGACAGGTCAGTTTCTTGATCATTAATATGCAAATTGTCATGACCATTGATCAACCACCTATCAAAGGCCATTGGTCAACTGCTATTGATCACTGAGGAATGACCATTGATCAATGGTTATGAGTACCATTCAGAGAGAGTGGGAAGTGGCTGCAGTTCTTCTAAGATTTTGAGATTTTCATCAGTAATGGGGGACATTTAAAAGTTGATGTGCAGCATAAACCTTACCAAGCCTTCCTAATTTTTTGGAATCTCCTTATCTGGATGATTGAGCATGCATCAAGAAATACTGTATATTATTTGTCTGATTTATTATTCTGATTATTATTATTTAGTGTGCCAATGCAATAGCATCCGAGAATTATTATTCTTATTATTTTATGGTTGGATATTATTATTATTTGTCAGATTTATTATTCTAGTTATTATGAGTGTGCCAGTAGCATTGCATTGAAGCGCCCTTATTTATTATTAATATTATTATTGAGTGTGACAATGCAAAAGCAGTGAGGCACAACTATTATTTTGCATATTTATCCATCATTGTTTATTTGTTGTTATTATTAATCAGATTTAACGTTGATTGTTGCAAAGCAGCGATCCCAAAATGTATTATTTTAGTCGCCATTTGCTGTACGTAATAATACTCCGTGTTGCAGGTTGAAGTTGTTTAATGTTAAGGAGTTGTCATGAAGCCTTTATTTTTGTCTTTCTAAGTGTCTAACTTTGCAATAACATACAATAATATACAGTATGGTTAACAACACATTAATTTTACAATATCCAACAACTTTATTAGATGCAGCTGTTTTCACTTTACAGGAACAAGAGTAATATGGGTACCACAAACAGATGTCTCAATTTAAAAATCTCTGCCACATTATTATATACACTTGTTTTCACACTACAGCAAGAACCTATGTGTAATGATATTACAGTCATTTTACATACAGTCGAAGGACATATGCACATATCAAAAACACATCAATTTTAAAATGTCTGCCACTTTTTTTTAGTAAATCTGTTTTCACTGAGTGAAGTGATTTCCAACTTTTTAGTGCCACCAGCAGCAAAGAAATACATGACCGTTCTCTCAAAGCAAATGCTTTGATTTTTCTCTGAGCTACTTGTTATTGATCTGCATACACTGCAATAGAACAAAAATGTTTTTCTGGTGAAAAACAATCGTGATAAACATGTCTGTTGAATTGTTTTGGTGGTACAATCAGTGCACTTTAATTCCAATTTCACAACTTTGTAGTGAGCTGTGAGAATACTATTTAGCTTAAACTGTACACTATGCTGATAATCATGGTGTTTCACTGGAATCCACTGGAATCGCTGGATTCTTTTTTGGATTGCCCCCTAAACCTAATACCTGGTTGACTGCAGTAGAGTGTTTGAAATAACTGGCAATGAGTCTTTGAATTCTGGCCAACTCATCTTTGCAGAATTGTTGTAATTCAACCACGTGGGGGCTTTTTAAGGTCATGCCACAGAATTCAATTCTGTTTTTTTTTTTAATGTTTTATATAGCGCTAAATCACAACAACAGTCGCCTCAAGGCGCTCAGATTGGATTTAGGTCAGGACTTTGACTAGGCCACTCCAAAGTCTTCATTTTGTTTTTTTAAGCCATTCAGAGGTGGACTTCCTGGTGTGTTTTGGATCATTGTCCTGCTGCAGAACCCAAGTGCACTTCAGCTTGAGGTCACAAACAGATGATCGGACATTCTTCTTCAGGATGTGTTGGTAGAAAGCAAGATTCGTGGTGCCATATAACACAGCAAGTCTTCCATGTGCTAAGGCAGCAAAATAGCCCCAGACCATCACACTACCACCACCCTATTTTAACAGCATGATGATCCTTTTCTGAAATCCTGTGTTAGTTTTACACCAGATGTAATGGGACTCAAACCTTCCAAAGGTACAACTTTTGTCTTTGTCAGTATAGAGAATACAGTCATCAACATGTTTTCTGGTAAAACTGTGATGACCTTCTATGTTCCTTTTGCACAGCAATGGTTTTCATCTTGGAGCTCTGCCATGAAGGCCATTTTTGCCCAATTTGTCATGAACATTGATGTTAGCCCTGCAGTTCTTTGGATGTTGTGCTGGCGTGTTTTGTGACCTCTTGGATGAGTCCTCGCTTCGTTCTTAAGGTTATTTTGGTCAGCAATTCACTCCTTGGAAGGTTCACCACTGTTCTATGTTTTTGCCTTTTGTGGATAATGGTGCTCACTGGAAGTCCCACAGCTCTAGAAATGGCTTTATAATCATTTCCAGACTGAGGGATCTCAATTACTTTTTCTCATTTGTTCCTGGGTTTCCTTGGCTCGTGACATGATGTATGGCTTTTGAGGATCTTTTTGGTCTACTCCACTTTGTCAGGCAGGTCCTATTTAAATTTCTTGATTGAAGTGTATCAGTAATCAGGGCTAGGTGTGACTAGAGAAATTGAACTCAGCTTTCCAAAGTTAATTTATGTTATAATGGGGCAGGGGAGGGATCACCTTTGCACACAAGGCCATCTATGTTTGGATTTGTTTCCCCCGAATAATAAACACCTTCATTTAGAAACGGCAGTTTCCATTTTTATAAGCCATTTTTTACAAACCGCTTCTCTCAAAGACATGACAGACACAGGGGTGCTCACCCCCTTGCTCATTTGAATATCATTTGTTGATTGGTTGGAATCTCCTCTCTGTCTTTGTGTAATAACACCCAGGGATGGGATTAATGAAGGATTTAGGAATTTCGATTCCATTATTGATATCACTTATTTTTTTGATTCCTTATCGGTTGTCACTGGCAGATTAATTGCATGCTGTGGGTCAAATGTTTGTGCATGTTTGTTGGGGTATTTTCCCTCTTTGTTGTGATCAGTGTTGAGTCGTTATTTTAAAAAGTCAGTGTTACACATACAGAACACTTTTTTCAAAGTAATGCAGTAAGTTACTTAATTACTCCTCTGAAAAAGTAATTTGTTATACTACTTGTTACATCACATGGTGGAGAGTCCCAGATTTTGAGCCCTGGTGGGAGTTAGAGTTGTTGAGCACTGTTGATCATGTGCTTCATCGCATGAGCCAAAGTGTGAAAAGGGTGTGGATCATTATCATCAGAGGTTTTGGGTAAAAACCATTGTGAGACCTTGCCTCACCCTATCATGTGACTTATTGAGATCAACTGACACAAGACGTGAGTGGGCGTTAAAGCATCTGGGAAGGGATCTCAAACTGGATTATAAGTGGCAGACCAGGTGGTGTGATAAGCAACCCCCTCTGTTCAAGGATGGTCGTTCACAGTGGACATAGATGGCTTCTTTCAAACCATCTGTCCTCTTTGTCCACAATGTGAACATTGGCATCCTGGACATTGAGAAGAATGGACACCTCAACATTGAAGTTTACCGGAAGCCCACACACAGCCTGGTACCTACTCTTTGACTCCAACCACCCTCTGGAACTAGAAGTGATCCAGCAATATTGGTCAGAAAATGTTCCCTCTAAGGCAGAAGGGAAAGAAAAGGAACACACACATGTAAAGAAAGCTCTTAAAACATGTTTTTATCCCAACATGGACTTTAATCAAATCAGCAAAGATGCACAGTAAACAAGGTCAGACACCAAATAGGGAGAAACAGAATGACAAACAGAACAAAAATGTCATCCCTTATGTAGCCAGTTTATCAAAGAAACTGACGCACACTCTGACAAAAACTTGTTTGTCCCAAAGACAAACTAAACAACAGACCTCTACATTCGACAAACCCAACAGCCACTTCATAAACGTATGGCACAACATAGAAGAGCCACCTCGACCAGACAAGACTCAAATGTACATCTGCATCTAAAGGATAAAGGCCACTCTTTTGAGGATGCCAATGTAAACCGTTTTTGGTAGCTATTCGTCACATAGTTTTTGCAACATTCTCAACAAATTTTTCCCATTCATTTGAATGGAAGAGCATCTGAAAAAGAGCACCAAGCCAGGCCACTTTGGAGCCTTCCTGCTCAGCCATACTTTATCGCAGACACATCATCCAAACTTTATACAGGTCACAAGGTTGTCCATCACATTTTACACACAGTACAAACATGAAAGTTAGGTATTTTGTACTTGAGAAGTTGTTGCTGCTCACAATTAAATAATGCTTGCGATACAACTTGTAGGTTTCTCTTGGTAAAATGTTGTTTGAGACTCAAATTCCTGTTTGCGTTCCTCTTTCAGTTTCACAAGTGGAATTTGCAGTCCTGCAAATATCTTCATTCGCATACATTTTTCAGTCTGGCACAGGGGTGAAGAGGGGTTTTCACCCACCCAAGACACACTCCCATGCAGTCCTCCCATGCAGATGAGACTGCTGAAAGTTGATTGGTTGACCAGTGGCCTGGAATAGAGAAGGAAGCAATAGCGATAGTCGAGTTCACTCGGAACAGAAGAACTGGGGGGAAAAAAAACTTCAGAAATTAAAAAATACAGCATGAAACGCACAGTTGCCGTAGTGCACACTTTTCACTATGTTTAACACTCGATCTCACTTGAGCTCTTTATATGTTATAGCTTCACTCTCCTTTGCGGCTGGCTGACTCACCAACAGCAACAACATGAGCAAAACTGTCTCACAGATTGGCTCACATGCTTTAAACACTGCTTCCGTCTGACAACAGACTCTCTGCAGGCAGTTGGGCAGTCCCCATAGTGGAACGGGAGGAGAACATGCTCACGTGTGTGTATTACACACTGTCCTATTGCTAGTCTTTAACTGGTAAATTGGAAAGCATTTTGTATTTAGAACAGCACTGTTCTAAATGCCTTGGTAGGACCAAAACAGCACAATAGCATTGATTAGGAATCAACTAATAAATGAACCCAGCAGCATGTGTTCAAGCAATAATCTAAATGTTTACCTCTGACATTTTTCTTTGTGTACAGGATTTTAAGAGATATTGTCATGATGATAACAACAGTTGCAACAGTTTTTATACGGCAAATGAAAATGGAACTGCTACATACAGGAAATTACTTATAGATTTAGTGTCCACAAGATTCTAATAACTGTTACACTATGTGTATTGTAGTTTAGAAGGTGGTGAGTGCAGTTGTCATGACTATAACAGACAGAATGACTGTTTGTTGAGTTTTGATGTCCAGTTTGCAGCCTTCATTATATAAACGAGTTAGTGTAGGCTTATTGGTTAAAGACCTTGGATGTTCTGTTGTGCTTGTGTGTGAAGAAAAACTATCCATACTTGTTGAAGATGTCCAGATGTGATCCCCAGATTCATTCATACCTGCTTTGCCCTGATACATTCCACTGTCAACAAGTGGAGACTTCGCCTGATAGTTAGGTGTGTTCTCTACAGTCCTTGGGGGCAATTGAACATCCTGCCCTTCACTTCTGTTGTTAACCCAGAGTGGTGGCTCCGTAAACCGAGCTGAGTGCCTTTCCCTTCCGGTTACCGGTAAATGGGATTGCCCACAGATGGGTCTTGTATAACAGGGGCACCCCAAAACGGTTGCACGGGTTTTCTCTGACCATCTAAGGAGCTTTGTTATGTGTTCTTCTTCTTCACAAGCCCAGGGGTTATCCCCAAGAGTAATAATCTCCAGTCCTATTAGGTCATCAAAGATTCCCTCAGACAGCCAGGTGAAGCGGTTAGCATGCAAATAAAACTGGGCCAGTCGGGGCAGTCGATCCAACGATCCGGGCAGGATCTGCAACAGATAGTTATGTGACAAGTCAATGATCTCCAGATTGTGTGGCATGTTTGTGGGCACTGTCCAAAACCTGTTATGACTGAGGTTAAGAGACTGTAGACTCAACAGTGTGTTATTGATAAAGACCACTCTCTCTAGCTCATTATCTGATAGATCCAGTACTTTCAGGTTCCAGTGGTAGGCTGTGTCATTTTTGTCTAGAGAGCGTAGATGGTTCCCTGCTGCTCGAATGTCCCACAGAGACCGTGGCAGGGCAGGGGGGAGACTCTCCAGGCGGTTGTAGGACAGATCCAGGGTGCGCAGATGGGCATAGTGGCTGAGCTGGTTGTCCACACCGTGCAAGCTGCCAAAAGAATGTCATATTTAATCGTCATATTTATCACCATCATAATTGTAATAGAATGGTAATATTGCTAATTGCATTGGTGAATAATCAAATGGCTAAAAAAGCTAAAGCATGAATGTTTGCTAGTGTAAAAACACTCTGAGTGCTTAGAAGGATTAGAGAAGCGCTTACCGTAATAAATATCAGTTGATACCATATAGCATGATTATAAGCACAGAAGTATGACAGGAGTCTGAATATTGGGATCTTGTAAAAGCCTTGATCATCTGGAGTTAAGAAAAACTACTCATACTGCGTTCATATTGAACACCTTTAAGACAAAGGAAATGATAGTAGATTACCAAAGATACAGGCCTCCTTTCCAGCCTGTGAAAGTTTGTGGCTTGGACATAGAGATGGTAACAAAATATAAATATCTAGGTTTACACCTATACAACAAACTAAACTGGTCCTGAATACAGGAGCCATCTCTCTCTTTTTTTTTTTTTAAAGGAAACTAAGTTCTCTTGAAATCTGCAGTAAATTGCTGCAGATGTTCTTTCAGTCTGTGGCACTAACTGTTCTATGCTGCACACTTCTACTGGGAAGCCAGTGTCAGAAACAAGGATGCATGAAGACTGGACCTACTAGTGTAAGCTGTAATTGCTGTAATTTGAGCCATACGGGGGGAGATGGTGGAAAGATGCATACTAAATCCATTAGAAGCCATTCTGAATAATTTTGATCACCCACTTTACAAAATCTTTATGGAACAAAAAAACGGATATCAGTTTTTTCATCTCATATAAGTAGCAGATGAGTGATGTCAGATATATGAGCTCAATCAACAATCAAGTTATTCCTATTCTGTTATGAACAGTTGCTATTAGTTCCAAGTTCATTTTTAGAAGTTCCTTAAAGGCTTTTAAAGACTTGTGAGTGTGTATGTAAAAATCTATTATTATTAATTTACAAGTTCAGGACGCTTATCTGGGACAGCTATATATTTTAACAGTCAGATCCTCTAGTTAAGTAAATTTCTGCTTAACCATATGCTACTTATTCTGTTACCTGTTACATGCACATGTATCTAAAAGTGAGTCATGTAATATAATGTCTAAAAGTGGAGCATTTGAGAGGTGCAGGAGCTTACCTGTTAAAAGAAAGGTTGAGAAAGCGAATGTTATGCTGCAGACCAGGCGGTAACTTGGTCAGGCCTCGTGAAGAGCAGTCCACAACACGATGGCCTCCACTGCAGGAGCAGGCAGCGGGGCAGATGGACAGCACCCAGCCTCCCAGCAGTCCACACAGCAGCAAGAGGAGTAGGTAGAGCACAGATGCAGAGCATACAGGCATGCTTAGAGCTCTAGAAGTGAGACAAGTTTTTAAAGTAGTAGGTTAGATATCAAGCTGGCTAGTTCTAGCACATGAAATTTCGTAATATTTAAACTTTAAATTAATACTTCCATTGTTTCAAATATTCTATATTTCTCTGTAAGAATCTGACGGAAATTTCAGATTATTTACTGAAATTAGATTTTTTTTGCTGACGTAGTCCAGATATCTTTGGCAAGTGTACTGACAGAATATATTTTAAGTGAATTTTTTTTTAAATGCAGTTACTATAGCTCAGGAGGTAGGGCAAGATGTCTACTAATCTGAAGGTGGGTGGTTTGATCCCTGCTCCCGTCTGCGTGCCACATATACATAACTCCAAGTTGCTCTTCTATGCATCCACTGGACTATGAACAGGTATAACCGTTAGAAAGCAAGAGCTGTTGTAGGAAAAGCATAAAATGCTTTTATTATTGTGTGAATGAGGCAAGTTGTATAAAGCGCTTTGACTACTCAGGTACGGTAGAAAAGCAATATATGAGAACCAGTCCATGTAACTTTATGTACTTCTGATGTGATAGGAAGTAGGTATACATGAATCAAGTTGATGTAACAGTATTATTTTTTGTATGCTTGTGACAGGGCTGGGCTGCAGTCGCATCCCATGTTTATGGAGAACACTGTGCTTAATCACCATCAGTCTTTTGTTGATTGTGTGTAGGTATTTCAGTTAGAAAATCTTTTTTTTTGGGGGGGGGGGTCGAATGCATTATATGTCAAAAGGCAAGTGAATAATTGTCCTAAAAGATTTTAACTTGAGTATTGACCAAAATAATCATGAATATGATTGTGATGCAATCTACAGTGCATATGATACAATAATATAGCAGAATGACACCAAGTTTCACTGTAGCTCAGAGGTGTTTGAAGGTTGTAATCATAGATCATTGTACATAGCTCATTAGAGAAGATCCATATTAACTGTATACTATATTAGTCACAGTTCTATGTGACAAAACTATAAATACAAATATCAATAGAAACCATAATTTCATTAAAAATATTAAAAACACAAACCTAAAGTGCATTTTTACTGAGTGGCCCTCCATCATATATTGGATTCCTAAATGTGACTCTTTGGTCTTGTCTTTGAGAACTTTTAACTGTGGCCCACCAGTTAACATTTTCAGCATTTTGGCATTTTATCTTCAAATTGAGTCCTTAGCAGCCTTTAATCTTGCCTTCAGAGATCAATTTTAATGTCTTGTCAATTCAGACTGCTCTTCTGACCAAAACAGTCATTGAGCCAAGTCAGTAACATTATTGTTATGTAATATCATTGGTGGTGTTTAAGAAAATTAATTACTAACAAATAGCATTAAATGTAAGTGAATGACTGCAGAAATGGCACGTGCATTGTGAATTCACCACTTAAACTCATCAGACTCTCTTCTCAGTACTGTTGCCATACTGAAGTAGGGTGGTTTTAAGTAGCAACCAGCTTGAAGATGTGCCAGTAGGACATGCGCTCAGAATGCTGCAGTGACATTCAGTTCATTCAAGCCAATCAACTGTGTTTCCACAACTGCAGTTCATATTCTGATCTAAAGACTACTCGATCACAAGCACTGAATATGATAAATATATTCTGGAAATTTCTTCAAGGTGTCGCTTTATGTGCTTGATGATAGCAGTTGCCACTGCTATGACTGTGCTTTACGTTGCTAGCTTCTATATTTAAGTACTATAATGTGACTTTGTCAATGCCTCCATGGAATAGTAAAAGAAAAAAATCTGCATAGCGACAGAGCACAGACTAGCTTTATCATGAGCCAGCACTACATTACATTAATTTACTGCAGCCATCATGTGCATGTGGATCTCCCCATTTAAAATCACTCACCTTATGCTTTCTAGTGTCTGTTTATCATCTTTCCTTTTTTCTTCTCGTTTCCTCCTCAAGCTCTTGTTGTGTCCTTTCTTTGTGCTTCTCTTTGCTGCTCAAGAGTCTCAGATTCCTGTTTCTGGTTGTTGTGTGGCAGTATACAATACTACCTTCTGTCGCTGGTGCTGTATCCTGTTTACTGCTCTGCAGGCTCCTGATGCAGCTGGAGCTCCAGGTTAGGGAGGAGAGAGAATTGCAGCAGCAAGCCAAGCCTACTGCTGATGAAGCAAGCAATAACTCGACGTGTGTGTGTGTTTGTGTGTGCATATATATACCGTGTCACGGTTCGATATTTTTTCAATACAAAAAAATGTTCATGCCTTTTTAATTTGTCATTTATTAAAATTAGAAAAAAATATATTTAACTCAAAAGTACAGTTTTTAAATTTAATGTTGCTGAAACAACAAAGTAATAAAAAAATAAATCTAATCTATCTGATCGAGGAATCGCTCATCTTTGGAAAAGAGAGTTTATTACAGAGAAATGGCTCTTTCCAAAATAAAAGCTATACTATCCGCTTCTTCTGGGCTATATTCTCAGCAGCATATTAAACATATCAGGTCCCCATAAGGAGAATCATGTGCTAACAGCTGTCTAAATGACTCGGGTAAAGTTTGTAGCATGCATGCTTGTTGTTTTTGTCTGTTTCCACTTGTCTTTGCACTAGGATGATATCGGCGTAAATGTGCAGTCATATTAGTTGTATTCCCACTAGTGCTGTCAGCGTTAATCTCGTTAAAATGACGTTAATGCCATAACGCGGCAAATCTCTGTTAACGAGTTACCGGGGATCGCCCCGTGCGTGGGGCTGGACGGCGTCAGCACGTTAACAAGCTAACTGTGCTAACGCACTAGTTCCCACCAATTGAGCATTGTGTGGCACATCCGACATACTGTTTTACTTTAGTCCATGACGCGCTTACCTTCAGGGTCATACATTACATGAAAACCAAAATAGTTCCAAACGCCAGATCTGAATGAGGGTGGGGGAGGTTCAATTTCGGGTAGCGTTGAGGCAGTTGCCATGTTGCAACGAGCTTAGCTTCTGTCTTGCTAGCTTGCGCTGCGCTCAGTGGCTCTGCACTCGACAGTGCAGCCTAGGCGGAGTAGTCGAACGCAGATCCACTGAGCTGTCAACACAGACAGCATCGTCAGAAGAAAAGTTGATAAAATTTTGTACTGTTCGATACATATGCGTACCGAACCGAAAGCACTGTATCGAACGGTTCAATATCGATACGAGTATCGTTGCACCCCTAATAAATAAATAAATAAATAAATATATATTAGGGGTGCAACGATACACAAAATTCACGGTTCGGTTCGGTTCGATACTCTGGTGTCACGGTTCGATATTTTTTCGATACAAAAAAATGTTCATGCATTTTTAATTTGTCATTTATTAAAATTATAAATATATATTTTAACTCAAAAGTACAGTTTTTAAATT